TAATAAATGCTTCTTGACTGGCTAGCTAAAGGACTGATTGGGGCTTCTGTGTTTTCTGACCACAAAAGTAATTGTAGTTTTGCCATGGATTCTAATAGACTTGCTAAGCAAAATTAAGAGTATAAATTAGATAAGAAGGTCATGATAACCTACTTAAAAGAAAATTTTATGAAATACTTTTTTTGGGTCCAGACCCATGACTTCATAGGTCATTTTCCGCGAGGAAATTCCCCTTCCCAGTTCAGATAGGCAACTAACTGTACTGCAATTTCTGTTCTCAGAGAGTTCCACAATGATGTTAAAATGATTTGTCCAGGGTCACAGAGACAGTGTGTGCTAAGGGCAAGGCTTGAACTCACAGCTTCCTGATTCTAAGGCAAGGTCTTTGCTCTATTCACACCTCTCTACCTCCACCAAGGTGCCTTTCTTAAGTACTTTAAATCAGATGAATATTCCTTTTAAGAAATGCTTTTTTTTTTAATCATAGAGAGGCTCAGTGTTTGATAGAGGCTTCGTGGAAAGAACATTACACTTGAGTTCTGTTACTAACTAGGTCTGCAACTCTAGGCATGTAAAGCTCTCAAAATCACATCTGTAAAATGGAACTAACACACTACCTTTAACTCCCAGAATTGATGTCAAAATCAAATGAAGTAACTGATGTCAGACCCTCTGGAACCCTATAACATTATATAAATGCAAACTCTTATTATCACTGTGTCATTTCCCTGACTACAGGATAAAAGTCATTTATTGAACGATAATTCTTTTGTTATTTCACCCCAATCTATCTTTCCAGTCTTATTTCTCACTATTGCTTAACATGAACCTGCCACTTCTGGTCAAGCTGGTTCCCTATATAAGCCTTATTTATTTGCACTTCAACATGTCTGTTTATGATGCACTTCCCTACTGTGAGGAAGGTACATTCCCTTTCTCTATTCTATTTTCTGCCTAAATTACAACCAAACTTCAAGGCCCATCATAATTCTTGCTTTTTGTGTGAAGATGTGCCAAATAACCTTAACATAGTCATCTCTCTTTCCACTGAATTTCTAGCCTGTAGCATTTAGTAATTACCTGCTTCACAGAACTCTTCAGTTAAAAAGGACCCCAAAGACCATCTAATCTAATCCATATTCAAAAAGCATCCCCTCAACTTTACAACACACCCTATGAGTGGCCTAAAGTAGCTTCCTTACAACTTTCACCCACTGCCCCCAGGTCTGCCTTTCGTGGCCAAACAGGATATGTCTAATTCTTTTTTCTACATCACAGCCTTTGAAGTATTTGAAGATGGCTATCATGTTCCCCTGATCTACTAGACAGCATATCGTCTATTAGGGAAAACTTTTTTTAAAATGACAACTTAAATGAAAGTAAGGGCTGGATCACTAAGAGATCATCTAGCCCAATGGTTCTTAAAGTATGGTCCAAGGACATGGCTACAAAGACAAAATTGTTTTCATAATAATGCTGTAAAGTTGTTTGTTTATCATAATTCTCCCTTTTCCAACTGTATATCTGTGTGAGGCTTGGTTTTCTTTATATACATCATCCAAAACAACAAATTGAAACAGATTGAATATAGAAGCAGATAGAAGAATCCAGCTGTCTTTTATTAAGCCAGATATTAAAAGTGATTTGCAAAAATACACAAAACAATGCCGCTCTTCTCACTTAATTTTTTTTTATTTTGGAAAATAGTTATTTTTCTTTAAAAGTACATTACTTGTGTTAACATGTGATGAGTCTGTCACTGTTATTTGAAATGTTTAAAATTTTATTCATTTTAATTTTGGACAGGGTAAATCCTGATATAATCCACAGAAACAAAAGTAGCTAGGGAAGGAGTTCTTAGTAATTTTTAGGAGTGTAAAGGGGCCCTGAGACCAAAGACTTTGAGAACTGCTGTTCTAGCCTGTTCTTCTGCAGGCCTTTCCTAAAACCAACTGAGGTGACTATAAAGAGAGGATATACTAGGACCTTGACTTCTTGATATGCCTTGGTCTACTCCTTCTGAAGGCAGGTATCTGAAGCAAAGCAGGAAGTTACTAGAACACACAAGTAAAAATCTTTTCTTGTTAAGGACCTTCAGAAGGTTCCACATCCCCTTTGTATAACCCATTTCAGAGTCTAACGACCCTCATTAGCATGAATTTCTTCCTTAGAGCTGGCCTAATTCCCTCATGCCATTGTCCCTTTTTCCATGAGCAGGAATTTTCTTCCTAACAAAGTTTCTCCAGGGCATGGCCCAATCTTCATACTTTGGATCTCCTTCAAGTGCCTAACACTGTTATGAACATGGTAATCACTCAAAATATATGTTGTTTTAAGGGAGAAATACTTTGGTACATTATATTATGTAAAAACACAGGTAATTAGAAACCATAGTCTTTAAGATTAAAAAAAAATAGAATGTAGCATCTCTACCAGGAATAGTTGATATTTTATTATCTACATGTTTACATTATATAGATTGGAATAGTGGACTGAATGTTGGGTTTAGAGTTCTGAAAGACTTGGGTTCAAATCCTGACTCTGACAGACACTAGCAGAGCACATATTAACCTCTGAGCTTCAATTTCTCCACATGTAAAATAATAATAATATTCATGGTAACTACCTCCAAGTGATGTTGGAAAGTTCAAATAATGCCATGGTTGTAGGAGGCACTATAGGACCGTGCCATCAGAGGACCTGAATTCCAAGTTCTCTGACACTGTGTGACCTTGAGCAAGTCACTTGATTTCTCTGGGCCCCAGTTTTCTCATCTGTAAGCCAAAGGGCTGAACTAGATGATCATTAGGGTCTTTTCCAATTCTACATTTGTAATCCTATGTCAAGTGCATCACCAGTTTTGAGGTATTATATAAACGTTGGTTATTACATAAGTAGAGTGTTGAGCTTGGAGTCTGGAAGACCTGAATTTGAATCCTACTTCAGACACAAGTAGAATGACCCTAGGTATGTCAGTTAACCTCTCTAAGCTGGTTTTCTCCATTATAAAATGAGGGGATTGGACCCAAAGGCTTCTAAAAATCACTTCTGGTTCTTAATCTGGGATCCTAAGTTAAAGATTGTTGATTGCTAAAAGTTTGTAAAACACTTTCTATACATTAATTCATTTCATTCTTATACTCAAGGAAGGTAGGCCTCGCAGTTATCATTCCCATTTTGCTGATGAGGAAACTGAAATTCAAAGAAGTGAAAGTTATTAGCCCAGAGATTAAATGATTTGCACAGGGTCACACAGACAGTAAATGCCTGAGGCAGAATTTGAAACCAGGTCTTCCCAACTCCAAATACAGAGCTCTTTCCTTTAGAAAGGACTGAACGGTTCATAATGTTCATGTCAGATCTGTGAGGAACCTTAGGTTTTACAGATGACAAAACCAAGATAAGGAGTTAAAATCCCTTGGTCAATTTCTTGTGTCTACTAGTGGCCCAGGATGTTCTAGACCTTATCTCTTCACTCCCAGTTTGTGGCTTTTTTCTTTGCCACACTTATGCCCCTAGGGCATTATACTTTGTAAAAAACACTTCCATTATCTCATTTTATTTTCACAATACTCCAGGGTGACAGGGCAGGCATTATTACGCCATTTTACAGGGGAGGAAACTAAGGCTTTAAGGGACTAGGTGCCAGCTAGTTATTATTGGTGTGTCTAGCCTTCCAATTCCTACAGCACTAGCCAGAGTTAATTCAGCTGAAAGTTTATTAAGTGGAAACCATGAGACCTGGCCTCAACAGTAAAGAGCTCTGTGTTCCTGAAGAATTTACTTTTCCTCTCTAAGCCTACGATGCAAGTGTAACACTCAGACCCACCTGAGATAATTTCAATGGTATGATAGGAGTGGAATTTAATAATGACTCCTGAAGGACCAAACTGGTTTTGAGTCACTCGGCTCCCTGGCCCTTCTAGTAACTATGAAATTCTTCACAAAGTTGTTGTGAGGAAAGCAGTATTTGAATCTCAAATGTAAGTGATGGTGATAATTGATTATTTTGATGATGAATGAGGTGCTGTTCTTGGTGCTGGAGAAAGATAAAAATACCAAGACAGCCTCCCTGCCCTCCATGAGTTTGTATGAGAATGAGTCGGGTCTAGTCCAAAGGCCCTTACTGAACCCTACAAGTCTGCCTTAATTCTCTTACGTGCAGAGATTAATTTGGCATTTCTTTAAAACCTAAGCAGTTCCTTTCTCTGATTAAGCCTTCCTGAAAGTGGGTCAGAAACTACAGTGTTCCTGTAGAAAACCCCCGCCATTTCTTGCTCAGGATGCAATATCCTCTGCCCATTCCCCCTCCCTTTTTTTGGGGGGGGGGGTTGGGGAAGTCTTTTAACCTGGCTGAGCTTTTGCAAATTCCTTAACCTTTCTGGGCCTCAGTTTCCTCCTCTGAAAAACGAAAGAGCTGGATGAGATGCACTCTCAGGCTCCTTCACGATCTGAACCTAGGGTAGCTATAGGACCCACATTCCTAGGATGGGGGCAGGGAGAGAGTGGGCAGACATCCACCTACCACCGGGTGCCCCAGCAGGAGAGCACCCACCTCCACGCTCATCCTGGGGGGTGAGGATGCTCCCCCGTGCACGCACCTATGCACACTCTTCCCCCCCCCCTTTCTCCAGGCACTCGCTGGGAGCACACGCACCCCCAAACACCGGGCGGAGCGGGGCGGGTGGGGGATGGGGGCAGAGACGCGAGATCCGGGCTGATTTGGGCCTCCTCCGCTTTCCAGCCTTGGGAGTGGGGGGGGGAGGAAGGAGGGAGACCCGCCTCCCAGGCGCTGACACTGGGCCGGGCGCCCGCCCAGCCTCCCCTAGCCTCCCGCCGGCCGCTAGCCTCCGAGGCCACGCCTCCATCCTCAGCGCCGGCGGCAGGAAGTCCCGCCTCCCCGCGGCCCGCGAGGCCCTGTGACACACGCGTTGCCCAATGAGAAGAGCGCCGTGGCGGAGAGGGGCCAATGGGCGATCGAAGCGGAGGGGGGCGGTCCCGGGCTGCGCTGGGCCGGAGCGGGGTTGTGCGCGCTGAGGAGGAGCCGCCGCCGCTGCCGCCGTCGCTGCCGCCGCCGCTACCGAGGCCGAGCGGAGCCGTTACTGTCCCGCCTGCCCCCGCCCCCAGCCTCCGGAGGAGTCCCGGGCCCGCCCGCTGGCGCACAGGTGAGGCCGCGGCCTGGGCCGAAGCCGGGCCGGGGCCGGGGCTAGGCCGCGGGGGAAGCCTGGGGCTCGCTTGAGCCGTGCCGCCGCTCGGACGTGGAGGCCTGCGGGGCTCGCGCCGCACGGCAGGCTCGGCACTAGCTAAGGGCCGCTCCGGACCCCGAGCGCCTGGGGGCGGTTCCCGGGGAAGTTGGCCGCGGGGAAGGCGGGGGCCGGGATGCTACGAGCGAGGGCGAAAGGAAGGAAGGAAGGAGGGGAGGAAGGAAGGAAGGAAGGAAGGAAGGAAGGAAGAGGGGCGGCCCCGGGGGAGGGGACGGGAGTGGGGGGGGTGGCCGGCCGGCGATGGTCAGCCCTCCTGGCGCTGCCTTTCCCAGGCCAGCACCGCAAGCAAAGGGCCTCGAGCCTTGGATTCGTTAGGGGCTCGGAGCCTTTGAGAGGGAAAACTGAGGCCCAGAAAGGGGCCAAGGGAAGGATGGAAACCGGTTCCCTAGTGGGGGTTAGAATTCTCCCAGTCTCAGGACTAGAAAGGACTTAGAGGTCATCCAATCTAGCCTCGGCCAACAGGACAGAAAGCTGCCTCCTAGTGCACCATCCCTTTCCTTCCTGGGGATCTGAGAACTCACAGTCCCCCTTCTGTTCTCAGGCTCCCGTCAGCAGTCAGACATGCACGATTTGGGTTGGTGAGGCAGGACTGAAGAGCATCCCTTATAGGATCTTAATAAGAGCAAAACCCATTTGAGGGTGGAAAAGCATCTTCCTTCCTTCGCAGCAGCCCTGTGAGGTGGGGACTGAAAAAAATAAGGATAACAGTTACAGTGCCTGGTAATGGGAAGCTCCTAATTAAATGCTTGTTGCCTGCCTGTTGATAATGATGATGATAAAAATAATGACAGCTAGGGTTTTTTTTAGTGCTTTCAGGTTTGCTTTCTCTCTCTCTTTCTCTCTCTCTTTTTTTTTTTTGATCCTCACAACAGCCCTGGGAGGTAGATGCTATTATGATCTTTATTTTACAGATGAGGAAAGTGAGGCAGACAGAGACTTGCCTAGAGTCACACAGCTTCTCTAGTAAGCGTGTCAGGCAGGATTTAAACTCAAGTCTTTGTGAATCCAGGTTCAATGCTCAATCCACTGAGCCACTTGCTGCCTCTGTTGCTTTTTGTACTTGTATCCCCAGAGCCTGGCACATGGTAGACATTTAATAAATACTTGTTGACTGATAGGACACATTTTGCCAGTGTTACCTCATTTGATTTTCATAGCAACCCCCAGGGGAGTAGGTACTATAACTATTGTCCACATTTTATAAAGAAGAAACCCGTAGCTCATTGAGGGCTAACAATTTGCCCATATTTGATTACACACCTGCTAAGTGTCAGAGGCAGAATTGGAACCCAGGCCTTTGGTGACTCCTAGTCCAGTTCTCTTCATACTGTGTCATGCTACTTCACATTTCCCCCCATTTACAGTAATTTCTACAATAAAATTACAATATGTATTATACTGGAATTGAGACAGATGAAAAGATTTGGCCAGTAGCAGAGCCCTGATCCTATCCAATTCTACAGCAGTTTGAGGCAGCATGGCATAGTGGGTAACATGCTGGATATGGAATCATGAAGATCTGGGTTCAAATTCTGTCTCTGATATTTGTTACTTGTGTCACTCTGACCAAGTCATATAACCTCTCTAGGCCTCAGTTTTGTCATCTGTAAAATGAGAGGGTTGGCTTAGATTCTAAAGTCCTTTCCAGCTCTAAGTCTATATTCCTGTGCCTTGAACCCAGATGTGCATTTCACTCTGTCATGGTAAGATTTAGGCATAGAAGGGACCTCTTGATTTTACAAAGGAAGAAACTGAGACCTAGAGCTACAATTCAAACACAGACTTCTTGTATGCAGATCGAGGGTCTTTCCTGTAAATACCATACTGCCTTTTGATCTTTTTATCCTTTTTTTTTTAATTGAGAAAATAGAAATGAACCATGAAGGGAAATAATGATGTATATTTCTTTGTACTCTTCCTACACAGGTCAGAGGGCACAAAACTCCTTGTTAGTGGCATTTTACCAGTTCTTTTGAAGAACTGTAAGAGAATGTTGACAGATTTGGGAACATGTTATAAAATCTGTGCATCTGTTTATTCTGGCTCATCACCAGAAGGTTGGCCACGGGGTACTGAATTTATTTTCAACCGTAGCAACCTATGAAGACCATGTACTATGCTGTAGAGGAGTAGTGAATTGTCTTGGGCAGTCTAAAGTAAAATCAGAGATACATGAAGTAGTATATATATAGAGATGTGTGCATTTTAGTTCTGTTTTACAAACATGTATGCATACATTCTGCCATGTATATGAATGCTTATGAAATGCTCCTAAAAAAAAAAGAACAGCTCTACTGTTAGACCGTTAATCAGATATTTATTGGGTACCGATTCTGTGCAAGATAATGTGCTAAATTTTTGAAGGGGATACACTGCTGGGAGTGATGTACAAGCTGGGGAGATAGGACATGCGCCTCCCAGTATCAGCACTTAACACGATGCCTTGCACATAGGTGCTTGATAAATACATTTAATTAAACTGAATTGGTGATAGCATACAGGTTGAGTTGGCTAACAAAGGTCAGACACTGAACTAGGGCAGTGGCAAATGGAATAAAAAGGAAGAGGCAGATCTAAGAAGAGGCATTTCAAGAGAAGAACTGACAAGACTTTGTGTCTGGATATTTTTGGAGTAGAGAGGCTGGACCTGTGAGTTTATTGGTGTGGAAACCCCACCACCACTGCTGATAACCAGATTTTCTGTAACTTAATCTTAGTGTCTGGGCTATTGATAGGTTGTGACTTACCCATGGTCCTACATTTCATATATGTCAAATGCAGGACTTTAATTCAGTTCTTGATTCCCAGACTGATCCCCTCTCCATTAAGCTATACTGTCTCTCTTTCTGTCTCTGACAGTTAAATGCTTATTGAGTTGAATTGGATATGCGTAGCAAGGGATAAGGAGGAGTCAGAGGTAGATCTGGGGTTTCAGTCTGGGTGTTGAGGCAAAATGGTATTGGTTGGCTTGGGGGCAGGTGGGAAGGGAATAGGAATTTAATTTTAGGCATATTGAATTTGAGATGATGGCCAGGCATCCACTTGGAAACGTTAGCAAAGGATTATGACAATACATTCGGTTCCCTGCAATGCAGAAGGAGGGAAAGTGGACCAGCATTTCCCTCACATGCTGTTTTGTGGGGGAAGCCTGTGGCTACCCTCTTTTTGCCACTAGGTGTCACGTATGCATTAGTAAATGTATAAAACCCTTAGTGGCATGTATGGAGAGCAGATAAAGCAGAGAATGAGAGATGTAAGGAGGGGAGAAGTTCCAGTGGTGTTTTAAGCAGTATAAAATGTTGAGATTGGCAAAATACTGATGCTGTTAGCACCACTCCTTATATTTGTATATTGTATATTGCCTTACAATTTGTGAAGTGCTTTTGCACACATTATTGCATTAGATCCTCATAGCAACACTATGAGGTCGGCAAATCTGTTATCCATGTTTGCAGATGAGGAAACTGAGTGACCCTGTGACTTGCTCAAGATAATAGGGATCGTAAATAGGGAGCTGGCACCGGACCCCAAGTTTTCTGACTCCTGATCAAGTGCTTTTCCTCCTCTTCCACGTGGCCTTTTTGTTCTTGTTATTATTTGTACCCTGTGTACCTATGCGGTTTTCGTCTGCTTTGCCTCCTGATACTTCCACTCTAAATATTTTGGAAGAGAGAGGAAGAGCAGAGGAGAAGGAGGGATTCATCATATGAGAATCGAGGTTTTAGGACTTCATTACTAGTCAAGAAAATCAGACCAGCAAATGTTTAATGCGTATTTGCTATTTAATTCAACAAATATTTATTGATGCCCTACTGTGTGAAAGGCAGTGTCCTAGATGGTGGTGGGAGTAGTGAAAGAAGAAAAATAAGAGTGAGCATACTACAGCTGAAAGAGCCTTGGATTTGAAACCAGAGGACCTGGGTTCAAATCCAGCCTCTGCCACTGACTCTGTGACCTTGATCAAATTACTTCACCACTCTGGGCCTCATAAAAGAGACTGAACTAAATGTCCTCTTTGGTTCTTTCTGGCTCTAAATCTGTGATCCTCTGTTTTTGTTCTCAAGGCATCTATTTGGGGAAGTCAAACCTGCAAGTAAGTTAAATGAAAGTCTAGGATTTAAATAACAGTTTGAGCTTCTTAACTTTGAACTCCATGAAGACAGTCTGGATCTTATCTAATTTTAAAAAATCTCTTCCAGTGCCTGCCATAGTTCTTTACGTATAATAGATATTTAATAAATGTTTACTGTTATTGACTTGAACAAGCATTACTGTGCATGATTAATTGTTGGTGGATTGTACAGAAGGCATTCTGGAGAAAATGGAATTTTAATCAACTGTGGTAGGATGAATACGATTTGGATGGAAGTGAGAGGGCACTTCAGTCAATGAAACTGTGAGTGAAGCGTGGAGGTGGGATGCTTGGGGAGGAGGAATATAGGATTGAAATGAATATAGGATTATAGGATTTGGAGGTGGAAGAGATCTTTAGAAATTAGTTCTTCTCATTATACAGATGAGGAAATTGAGGCCTGGAAAGGTAAAGTGACTTTCCTAGTAAGGTCACTGGTAGTAAGTAGAATTTGGATTTCTACCCAAACCCTATGACTCCAAACCTGTCCTTTGCACTCTACCAGAATGCCTCCAGGAATATTTAGAAATAAAACTGAAAAGGTAGATCAGGGCCAGATTGTAGACAGAGTGCTGGACCAGGAGTCAGGAAGACTTGGGTTCAAATCTTACAAGTACTTACCAGCTATGTGACCCTGGGCAAATTACCTAATTGCTGTGATCCTTAATTTCTTCATTTGTAAAATCAAAATAATAATAGTATTTATTTCACAGGGTTGTTATAAGGATCAAATGAAATATTCCTTGTAAAGTACTTTTTCAAACCTGTA